CGACCTTCTGGAGCTGGACCTGGAGGAGCGCTGTGGTTAGCGTCTGGGGTGGAGACCCGCCGGAGCTGCTGGAGTTCCCGGCCGGCCTGTAGCAGAAGGAATGACCGAATGGGAGAGGTGGCTTCCTGGCTCCCTGAGGTGGTTTTAGTATGATGCTGGTGTCAAACTAGGTATGGCCGTGCTTGCCTGTTGGACCTTATTTGCCAGCCTTGGTTTTGGGGATGAACTTTGGACTTAAAACTTTCTGAACAGTTGGGTGAATACAGGCAAGGCTACTTTCTGAGCTAATAGATAACAGTTGGTATGTAAAATGGGTTGGCTGGACAAGCAGTTGTTGGTGCGTGTCTTATATGGCTTTTAATTCACTAGGCAGTTTTCTCCAGATAATTCGAGCCAAGCGATTGCTGTGGCAATGTAGTGAAGATCTAACAAGACTTCTGTAGTCTGCTCCCACGCTGCTTCAATCAGAAATAATGTTATTTTGCAAGCACAGAGAACACCATTCCTGCAGGTGTGACCTGGACTTGTAGACAGTCTTCTGTGTAGGACAGGTGTGGTGGAGAGAAACGTGGGAAATGGATAACTGAACCGTTTCTTCCTCCCCTCTCCAGAGCAAGTTGTGCCATTGCCAAGAGGGGTGGTGGGGTGGGTGCGTCATGGGTGAGCAGTGACTGCTGCGGGTGGAGGTGAAGAGCTGCCAGCACCTCGGAGGACTTCAGCACCTCGGGGAAATGCTCTCTCTGATGGTGCTCTCCTTGACATGACTAACTCAAGGGATTGCGCTTCTTGTTACAAAGCTGTAGTGGAAGTAGTCTCCGCTGGCACAGCGGGAAGGGAGTTGTTCCTCCTTGTTTGTGCTGTCTTTGAGCTATGCAGGGCAGTGTTAAGTAGTGCTGAGATTGCCCTGAGATTGAACGTGGCTTGCATCTGAGAGAGGCAACCTTGTGTAGGGGAAGGGAGCTAATAATCTCAAACAAGCCATGAATGTATCTTACCCGCGTGCATGCCAGGGCTGCTGGAGTGCGGTGCCCTGACTGAACTTTGTTTGCGTCCCTTCTGATAAGGGAAGTGAACCAGAAACCGAGGAGTGCAAGATGTAAACAAACTTTTTTTTATTTAAAAGATCCTCAAGACCCTGATTTAAGAAGGAATTTCAGTTCCTTGGGAAGCATCAACTTCATGAAGTATGTGCACCAGTAAAGCTGTAAAAGCTTGCAAGCAATGTTTTTGGTCTTGTAGATGCAGGTGATGGGGAAAACGAACAAAACAAGAACTATGAACTCCAGCTTGGTTCATAATTCTGGAGCGCCCTGGACGCGTTTGAAGTTTAGTTCTGTTTTTCCCTCACCTTAGACCTATGCTAGCACGTTCTCAGGTAACATTAGTTGACCTAGAGTTCACACAGGGATTAAGATGTCAGATGCCTTTAATCTGTGAATCAAAGTTTGCAGCCGTGTATGTCTTAAGGGTAGCTCGTGGGTAGACTTGTCCTCTCTCCCTCCCTGGAAGATGGCCTTCCCGGGACAGCGGGCTGGCCCTCAGCCCTGGCTCCTCAGCCTGGGCAGGCCTGAGAGCAAAGCGAATGAAGTGAAAAGTAGGCCAGTACAGTAAGAGGCGTTTACTACAGTAAGTATCCATGCAGAGGGCATGCAAAGGGAGTCAGCGTCTTTGCTGGAAAAGGGAATTAGAGGATGGACTGTGCCCACTTCTAGCCAGCTGTGCATCCTATAAAGAGGAGGCTTGAGAAAAATGTGAGTAAGGTTATGGGAAGGGACTCTGGAGTCAGGTGGTTGGTGTTAAACATTGGGTGAGCAGATAATTACCTTCATTTCTAGGAAAATGAAATAGCTGTGAAGCAGGCAGTGTCTGTGAAGTCTTTATTATCTACTTAATTTAACTGAAATCTCTGTTACTGGGAAGGGCTGGAAGGGAAATCTGATATCTGAGAGCTGAGATCTAACATAGCTGTCTGCTGCAGCAGTGCAGTCTGGTGGGGGCAGGAGCCTTTCTCAGCAGGGGATAGCCACTCTGCTTCTTGTCTCTTTTGTAATTAATAGGTAAGCCATGTGAACTTGGGTCTTTAAACCCTTAGCTCCACGGACAAACAAGCATTCATGTATTCAAGATGCCTGTCATCCCAGGGGACTGAGGCGCTCTTGGCCTGCCACTGGGGTTTTGTCACCTGGGTTACTTTAGTTCTCTCATCTAACACTGGTGCAGCCCTCAAGGCAGTAGCTCCTTCTGAGCCTTTGCAGCAGGCCTCTTTTTATCGGTGTTCCCTTCGTAAAGGTTATCTTCACTCAAACAGCGGCGCTGCTTGATATTTGGGTACGTCTTCTAAAGCTGATGGCAGTGTCAGATTAATAATAAGCTGTAGTCAGAAGACTGGTAGTAAGCGTGTCCCCTGTCTGAGATTTGCAGACAGAGTAGTTCTCAAGCTGCCTTGAAGAATAGTTCATTTTCTCTTTCTCTCTTTCTTTTTCTTTTTTTTTTTGGGGGGGGGGGTGGGGGTAAGAGACATGAAGATTTCAGTAGCACAGTAAGCCTTATCTTTATAGGTCATGGATCAGAAACCTTTGTGTAAGCTGGATGCTTATAGCAAAGGAAAAGGATGACTGTAAGCAAGTTGATGTTTTGAAATACTTAATGGAAAATAGTTGTATTTTTCAATTGGTAAATAATAGGAAAGCCTGAAAAACAGGCTGGATGTGCTCTCACAGAGTGGTGAAGACATGTCTGTCCACAGCACTGGCAGACCAGTATCTCCGTGTTCTTGGAAGGTCTTTGTTAGGAGCTGGATTAAAGACCACAGATTTTTGCAGTTTCTCTTTCCATATATACTTTTACTGATGAAAATGTTTGGATGCTGATTTTTTTCAGCTCAGTATTTTTCTTTGCTCGGAGTGGGAATTGTGGCTATTTATCAAAGAGCCTAAATAGTGTTGTTTACTGCGAATGCATCTTGTATCATCAGAGAGACAAGCTGGGGAAGGGGGAAGTCTTTTGGACAGACAAGCCCTTCAGGAGGCCCACTCTTCCTTCCTCTTCCTTTCACAGCATGTTGCTTTTCTTTATTCTCTCATGATATACTTAAAAACACAATATATTTGAATTTTCTGCATTTTCCTCCTGCACCTGCTCCTCTGTTTATCCTGTTCACCCTGTCACCTCTATCAGGGGCTCTGTAGATGCTCCTGTTTTTCGCTCATGATGTTGTGGACTACTGGACAAGATGAGCCATGCATAAGATATGTTCTTGTGTTGTATCTTCAAGCAATTTTGTCTTGCCTCAACAGAGAGGCAGGATTGATGATTGAAGCTCTCTCCTATCTCAAAGTCCACCTGAGTTTACATGAGGGGTAGTTTAATGTCGTCGTCTTCTTGCTTGCTTTTTTTGAATTTCAAGGGAAACTTTGTCTTGGAACCTCGCAGCTGCTGCATTTCGTTGCTGTTTGGATAAGCTGTGTGAAAGTGTAAAGGTAAGGCAAATATGAAGACGAGGGTGAATACGTAACTGTTCAACTCACTCATTCCAGCCAGGGGAGAGCTGTTGGCTTTGATTATTCAAGAACAGAGGTAAAATGTAAATCCTCTCTAAGTATATAGATTTTTGTTTTCACCTCCTTCTAGTTTTAGTATCTCTTGGAAAGTTACAGTTTAAGGGTTCACTGTGAACTGTTTATTGTGGTGCCTGTCTCCATCAAGAACAGCAGAAAAGCAAGAGTTCTCATTGATTAGATTAAATATCCAGGTCACTTGCATTACCTGTGTTTATTCTCTGGCAAATTTTGATGTTGGAAGAGGAGGGAGATAAAAGGAACATGTGCAGAAAGAGATAACCTCTGCTAGAGCTGCCCAAGGCAGTGGCCACTCTAAGTGGGTTTGTAGATGAGCATTTCCTATCAGTTTAGTGTCACGTACAGTCGTGTGTGTGTAGATATCAGACATGTACGCAAACAAGCTTGCTTCACTCCCCCCTACTCCCGCCCGCCCCAGTCTCTTTTTGTTGAGTTGGTGGTATCCTTAAACGGTCCAGAAGCCCAAATGGACTGACTCTTCATTCATCCATCTTGCATTTCACAAATCAAATATTGTTCTTATGAACAAAAGGGTTTGCATGAATATGCAAAAGACCTAGTGATAGACCAGACCCATATGTGGGGTTTTCTGGCCATCTGTGGCTTGACTTCAGGGAAGACATTAACCAGAGCCCGGCCTTTTGCCAGGCCATGTGCATTTAACAGCAAAATAAAATGAAGCCATCTTTCTTCTCTAAAAAGCATGTCAGGTAGAACAGAGATGTGTGTATATGTATACATACCTATCTATATCTCTGTATTTACTGAGCACATCTGTAGGTGTTGTAGCTGTTTCTCTTAGAGTGATGGTCTTACTCTTGTGTAATACATAATAACTGACATGAAATATGGAAGTACATCTTGTTGACAGAATCACCTTATCCAAAATGAGTGAATTCTGCGTCTGTCTGGCAATCCAGTCTTGTACAAAAACAGACCTAAGGAGCAGTATTTCTACATGATTCCAGACAATCTTAAGCTTTATGAGAGGCAACACTCATTCAGTGAGTTAAATCATTTTTATACATATAAGTGTGTGTGTGTGTATATATATATATGTTTTAACTATGTTACTAATATAACTATCTAAATAATAATTACTAATGTAACCGTATTTAACAGGCTGGCATTGTAAGCCTGTAATAGTCAACTCCTGTTTTTCTGCAGGTGCTCTTGCAGATTTGCTTTGCCTAGTTTTTATTAAGTTGCCATATGAAATTTGGCTAATTCTTCTTTTTTCCCCTATACTGTACCTGTAAGTTTTCAATGCTCTGGGAGTTTGGAAAGCACTCTCCCAGAACTTAGCATTGGCATAACTACTTCCTAAATTGTTTCCGCAAAAAATGATGTTCCTGCTGGCTGGTGACCACCAAAGAGAAAAGCAGATATTTTTTGTCTGTCTCCAGATACGCTGTAATTCTGGCTAAAGCTCCGTAAGTTCTTCAGTGACCCAGTTTCTCTGCCTGTAGTGAGAATGCTGTAGTCTTTCAGGGTGTCAGCAGCTCAGTCAGCATCTATAAAGATTTTTACAGGCTTCATTGCAGTATTTGAAGTGTGAAGTCAGTCATGTTAGTAGAGATCTCAGTTACTGCAGGTGCTAGGCTGTGAGCAAGGAGCTCCCCATGCCCCCGCTCCTGGTATGAGGAGTTAAGCATCAGCTTCTGATCTGAAACCAGCACGTTTGCAGAACAGCCTGATGCCCTGCAGCCTGCTGCGGAGGAATTGCTGCGTTTTTAGCAACCACAGAAACTGGAACCTTCTGACCTGAGATTCTTCTGTGGCCCTAAAACTATAAAGGGCTTGTAGGCAGCGTGTGGCCTAGCACCTTGCAGCTCTCTATACTGCTGATACACCTGCATCTTCATCTGGAGCCATGTTCTCTTTATAAAAGTTTTCCCATTTTTTTTCTTAGGGCTGGCAGCCGTCAGTCTGTATTTTTCTTTCTACTTGGCAGACTGTTCTGCAACCTGCCACCTCTGTGCTGATTTTATTGTTCTTACCAGCATTTGGGGTCTCTGCGCTAAGTAGACTATGAAGTAGAGAGGCAGGTGGGACAGACGAGACACCGGTGTCCGTAACCTTCAGATAAGAAAATGAAGTTCACAAAACTAGAGTAACAAATTATAGATATATCTGTGTCTCATTCAGTGATACTGGCTTTCTGTGTATGTCAGAGCAAAGCGCTGCTAAAATCCTGCTGGTTTTAGACCTGACCTGCAGAACGTAATAAACAAGTGATAGGGCGTCTAAAGTGTGGCTTCATATGTTAAGACTTGTAAGGTTTTTGCCTTTGCTCTTTGTGCTGAAGAATCATTACAAATTTCACTCTGAGAAATCACTTTCTAAACTCTAACCTAAAATGAGCTGTGGTTCATTTCTCTTCCATGCCTGCCATGTCCTTCAGTATAAGAAGAGATCTTCCTCCTCCTTGTTGTTTTGCATCCTTTTCCTAGGCCTGACCTAATTACTGGGTTCCTTGAGTTTGTATTTCTCTAACCAAGGTCACTCTTCTCTGCTTTCCCTGATCACTTTAGCACTGTCCAGGAGTGGTGAATTCAGATTGGGGTGGGCAGAGAAGGGGACAAGGCTTGCAGCCAGATAAGGTCTTGTCAGCATTTTGCGCGATAGCACTGAATACACAGCTGTCTGTTCTGGAAATGCTTTGCCTGATAAATCCTAGGATCTCATTTGTTTCTTCGCAGGACCATTTTCTGACTGTAGTTTGTATTAGTCACAAAATAAGCAACACACCCATGTCTCTCTTCTCCTCCTTTCTTCAGCTAATATGCTTGGATTGGATTAGCTTGTTTAAAAAAATTCATTGACCCTCTGGTTAATTCCCTGCTACTTCTATTACATGCAGTTCTTCAGGGCAGCCAATTTTCACTTGCAGCTTTGTGGTCTTCCTGGTTTTTGATGTTGTCTGCAAAAGTGTTTACTGCAGCTGATCTAACTGAGAGTAAAGCACCCAGTTTTGTGGCTATGGCTGCATAGTCAGTGTGGTGTTAACGATAAATGTGGGTTCCAGGCACTGGAAAAAGCTTGGCAGCGTGCCTGATTGCGTTCACACTGAGAGGAAGTCAAAGCAGTTCTGTTGCTCAGACGTGGCATTAAAGATGTCTAATATGAGATTCTGCCAAGCTGCGTTGTGTTTAGTAATTTTCATGACCAAATGGTGCTTGGAAGAGAGGTGACTTGCTACTCTGGCCGGACTGCCAGTCAGCGTGCTCATTTCTCTTCTTTCTCTTCGATGGACTTGTTCTCGCTTGCCTCTTTTGTCAGTAAATTATGAATTGTGCAGGACAATACCAGCTTTGCCATACATATTTTCAGTGTCTCATGTAAGAGAGTGCGGCGTTCAAGACCTGGATATGATGCAGTAATACAACTGAGTCACCTTGTTCTTTCTCCTCTCTCTTGGACAGTCAGGATGTGGTGCTGGCGGCTGACGGGTCTGTTCAATGTGCCGTGCCGGCTGAGTAGAAGCACTAGCCATCGCTCTGCATGGCTGCCTGGTTGCGGAAAGATCTTCTCTGCTGCTGCAGCTCGCTGGCATCACACAGCCCCAGAGTCTCTGAAGTGTGCCTGGCAGTTACATGGTGATCACCTAGGTAAGTGTGTATGTGTATGTCTGCTTTTGAGTCGGGGAAGAGGAGAAAGGTGTGTATGTGTGTCTGTGCACGCATGTGTATTCTCCACACACACACCCTGACCTTGTTTCCCAGTAGTGATTCTCTTGTGAAATGACCTGTATTGGCCACCAGTGCAAAAGAGGAATGCATGTTAGAGTCTGTGTTTTATGTTTGCTTTGGGAATTCCCAAAGACAGGACAGAGCAGGTTTGTTCTCCAGCAGTAAATGTTTCATGACAAATGAGGCAATGCTAAATCAGAATCAAACCCAAGGATTCCTGAACTCTAATTGGGTCTGTACCTTGCCCTGTTGGTCAGTGGTTTCTCAGGCCATGACTTGCCGGTGGGATGGCTAATTTGATGTGTCCCCAGCTCTCTGCCTTTCCCCACTTGTGAAGTGGCTTCAGAAATACCCAAGTGTCCCAGGCAAACCACAGTTAGTGCAGGCTTTCCTTAAAACACTGATCTGTGAAATGCAGAGCGGGTTTGCAAGCAGCCCAGCTGGTTGGCATGAGCAGTGGGAGGTTAGAGGGCATGGAAGCCTTTTCAGTGCAAATTATACCCCTCTGAGAGATTGCTTAAGGAATAAGCAAGGAGGTTAAGTGTTTTAGTGTGAAGCAACCCAGCAAGTCAGCTGTAAGTGCTGTCTAATGATAACTTCAGTCCTTTCTCTTTTGGAGAAAAGTTAGCAACTGAGGCAAATGTTTTACCGTGGCCTGTATGGTACATGCACCACATCCAGTATCTGCCTGAGTAATATCTACTGAGGATACTTAGGAGATATTGGTTGCCTAGGGAAGTGCCTTATAAGCATATATCTAAAGGGAATTGCTCAGTATTGTACCCAACACAGGGGCCCCAACAAAGGATATTGTTATTTTCCCACTGCAAACTGACCTCAGGTACTGGGATTTCAACACTGAGCAGGACTAGAGCAGGAAGGGCTCTCCTATTACCTGTGCTGGCTCTGATGTGCTTCTGAAGGGCTTGGATATTCCTAAGTTGTCCCAGGATGGAAGAAAGAGGAGAGACTTTGCTGTACTACAGGTCCAACTGAATAGATGTTAGAGCTTGGTGTCCAGGTCTTGAAGTTGTCTGTAATGTTCGTGTAGCTTGAATGTTGCTATCGTTGTGTGGTTGATTCTTATCTATGTTCCTGTGCTGGGGTCTAAAACTACATGGAGCAGGGGGGACCTTGTCATGCAGAGCAGTTGCTAGACAGCTGTGGATTTACTGCTTGCTAAAGAGAGAAGATAGACATAGGTATGTGACCAGCATGTTTTCAGCTGCCCTCCTTCCTGTTGCGGGATGAGATTGCTTGTAAGCTGGTAGCATGGGAAACCACAGTGAGAGCACTGACAGCCAAGCGTTCTATGAAATCCCTGGCACTTCTTCAGATATTTGACCTGGTCTTCGTAACAGGACAAACTAGCTTAATTTGTGCAAAGAGGGGTTAAGTCTAACGGACCCCACATCTCTTGTAAGTGGGATCATAGCTTGTGGGCTCTCAACTTCGGTTCTTTGCCTTGCTGTTTCTCACTGTTGGGACCCATGAGTCTTTTGAATCTGTCATTCTTTGCCAGAGCTCAGGTATGCGAACACACTGATGCGCTTTGATTTTGTTTGGCTGCGGGACCACTGCCGTTCAGCTTCCTGCTACAATACTAAGACTAACCAGCGCAGCTTGGATACAGCTAGTGTGGACCTGGGCATCAAACCCAAGGCTGTCCGAGTGGATGAGACCACACTCTTCCTCACATGTAAGTAGCAAAATGCCTCTACCCTGGGAGTTTTGTGGAGCATCAGCCCTTGCTGGAGGGAGTCGTCTTGATGGATCTCACCCTTAAGGCTGTCCTCTCCCAGCAAGCTTATCTCTAGATCAGTAGCTGTTTTGGGAAGAGACCTAGCTGTAAGCAAATCCTAAACAGTGCTGTTCTGAGCAGTGCTGTCACTGTAAACATGCCTCAGTCTTGTATTTGTCTGTTTCCTTCCCCCTGCCCCTCCTTTTGGGTAGAGATATGTGCATCTTCAATGTCTGGGTAGTTTATTGGTTTGTTTGAAAAAGGCAGCAATGCAGATAGTAAATAGGTCAGTCAAGAAATAGTTGGTTTTCTTAACCCTGTCCTTGAACTGGTGTCTCTGATCAGAATTCACATAATCTGTCCTTTCTCCTTTATTTCCAGCTGCTTTCTTCCTTCTGCTGTGAGGAATGATTGTATGCTTCCTTCTTTTGAAGCTCAGTAGTTTATTTATAATTTACCTTTATTTATGGGCTTATCTTTGAGTGCTTTACCTCTCCATGGAGTCCTCTCGCTAGAAAACAAAACCGCTACCACTGAAGCTGAAACACTTAGTTATAGATTTGGAATTGCAGCAATGACAGTATTTTTAGGGCTTATAGCCTTAACCAGATAGTATCAATACCTTGTATGACTGGGTGCAAGAAGACAGTCACTAGGCAAAATTAAAAAGATGAGGACTTTCCTAGGTTGATGGTAGTAATGGAACATCAAGCTGTTCATTGTGACTCCAGTGACTGAAACTCTTCCCCCTTTGTCATAGGGCCAGATGGGCATGTGACACGGTATGGGCTGGAGTGGCTGGTGAAGAACAGCTACGAGGGGCAGAAGCAGCAGGTCATGCACCCACGGATTCTCTGGAATGCAGAAATCTACCGCCAAGCCCAGATCCCATCTGTCGACTGTCGGAGTTTCCTGGAGACAGACGAGGGGCTGAAGGAGTTTCTGCAAAACTTCCTGTTATATGGGATTGCTTTTGTGGAAAATGTCCCTCCTACCAAAGAGGACACAGAAATCTTAGCAGAGAGGATCAGCTTGATCAGGTAAACAGAACTGCCCCAAGAAGGCCACTGGCAGCTCTCTAAGAGAGCCATCAAGAGTGGACTTTCATTTCCCTCTTGTCTGGAAAGATAACTGTCCTCGTATCTTATACGTTATGCAGCGTGACTTCGTTTGCAAACAAAGGGTCTGGAACTTATACTGTCTCTGGCCAGTCCATTTGAACTGAGATGGAGTATTGCACTGTGGGATCTGACCTCTTAGGAAGAGGACTTCCTAGGATGGCATTTGTGGTAATGGGACTATGCATAGAAAAGAGTGACTGAAGGAAGTAGCCTGTCTGGGAAGGCTTGAGCTTTGCAAAGACAGAATTTCCTGTTATGATCTGAAAGGTTAGGAGGGCAGCCCTGGCCCTGGGAGCCAGGGAGATCAAAAACAATTTGTAGCTCTCTCTAAAGAAAAATATTGGTTTCTTCTGTGATTGTTTAAAGTGCACCCATAGCATAGCAAGTGTGGTTTCAAGTTTCGCATTTCCTCCAAGCCAAGAAACAGCTTAACTTGCCTTGGGCCTTTAGAACAGGAGGGATTTTTATTAATGAATAGCTCCTCCAAATAGAAATGGAGGGGCTCCAGGGAGTGTCCAGCCAGCTCTTTTCTCCAGATTCTGACCCTCATCCTGTAGCCTCCAAGTGCTGTGCACCTTGTAGGGGGACATGGGTGAAAACTGAGGATCCTCAGAGGAAGAATGGGGAATGTTAGGAATCTTAGTGGTAGGCACGAAGAGGAGGAACCTGTACTCTGGTGATTCCTAATGTCACTCAGTGTTTTTCTTGATTTGACTGAGCTAATGTTCGGTATGGAAAGATGGCCTGTGTCTTCTGAGGAGGATGGAGAGTCATTACCATCAGTCTTAACACGGAGGAGGGAGAGTAATTGAATACTGGAGGAGGCATTAGAAGCACCATCTCTTGATATTACAGTGTAAATTTTGTTAAGTTGGCTTGTTGTACTGTTTTAATTTACTGTGTATGTATTCTACATAGGATGGAAGGGAATAACCTCGGATGCAAGAGAGGATCTGTTTTACCACCGCAGTAATCCCTACAGCAATTTGTGATAACTGCCCACCTCTTTTATAGGGAGACCATTTATGGTAGAATGTGGTATTTTACCTCTGACTTCTCTCGGGGAGACACTGCCTACACTAAGCTGGCTCTGGATCGTCACACTGACACTACCTACTTCCAGGAGCCCTGCGGGTATGTGCTTTTGCTGGTTTGCAAGAGTGATTCACAGGGCTGCGGTTTCTAGCAGGAGCTTCTGAATTATCTCTAGCATGACTGATAAGATATACCAGTCACACAGTAATTCTGGATCCTGTTTGATTCTTGTAGAGCAGTGTATTCTGTTGATTGCTTTTTCCTATGCTTGTAACTTCTAGTTCTCTCAGAATGCAGGCTAAAAAGGACTTGGATGTTAGATAGCTGGCTTCTTTGTACTGCTGTGGTTTAGCCTTTATAGCCACAGAAAAAGCTCAGCTATGTATTTATTTTTATGCTATCCTTTTAAAGTTTATGTAACGATCTCTTCTGAAATTGCCCTCCTCAGTCTGCTAGGTGACACATAGCATTGGTCTTCACAGAAATAAGCAGCTGATTTGTTTTTGGGTACAGATGGCAATCACAGCTCTAACTGGCACGGCTCCTCCTGTAGCAAGTGCCCCTTGTCAGCTGTTGCACAAAGTTGCTGCAAAAGTTTGCTTAAACTTAATCCTGCTGACCTGGGGGAAGCCTTCCTCACCTGCTTCAGCACCATCTGTTTTACCGGCTGAGCAGTTGCCTCTGGGGAAGGACGGATGTTGGCACGGCCCTGCAGTCACCGTCTCTCTGCCCTCCCAAACTTTATGAATGGTACTGACTTACGTGCTGTCGTCACATATGCTCTGTGCGATCACTCCACTTCAGTCAAACTGGTTGGGATTTGCTTTTTGGCAGTGGTGCAGTCCTGTAGCTCATTAGAAACTAGGCTACTCCAGCCCTTCAAAGTCCACACTTGTCTTAGATGTTTCTGAAGGTTGTAGCTATGACATTGTTTCCAGTATAGCGTCTGGGCTGCAAGTTTTATGCCCGCTTGGAAGAAGAAAGGCAGCAGGCCTGATGGTAGTTGACACTGAAGTGCAGGAGACCCAGGCTTAATTTCTAGATTTTTTTTTTTTTCCTACTGTGATCCCAAGAATGGCACTGGAAATGGCACTGGAAGAACTAATGGAAATGTAGTGATCTTGTATGGAATTAGGGCTACATAGGCCCAGAGGAGTCATCTAGTTCATGCCTCCTGCCTTAGGGCAGGATAAGGTCTTCCCAAGTGAGGCTGTTAAATTGCTGAAAGTCTTAATGGGAAGGGTCTGTGGTATAGAACCGTGAAGGCAGAGGAAGGATTAAGGGGGTGAGATCTGTTGGCTGCATGTGGATTTCAGAGCAGCCCTTAGGACCAGGAGAGGTAATGTTATCCGGGTGGCACCCTGAGCACTGTCACCCGTACCCAACCTAGCATGAAACTTTTAGCGTTTACTCTAAAACAGCTAGGTGTCAGGAGCAAGGTATCATTTAGTGTGCTTTGTGAAGCTAGGAGTACATGCAGAAAGCAGAGGTCCTGCCGCTCACTTCAGTCCAGATCTAGGTAGCTTCCCTGTTGTGACTGAGCAAGCCGACTGTTTGCAGACCCTGTATGCTTTCATGGCCTGTGCAGTGTTACTTGCTTGGCTGGCTTGCTTTAGGAGCTTTCCCACAAAATCTTCCCCAAACCAAATAAGGAAATCATTGGTAATGAAAGCCCATTTGAAGGTTGAAGTTCTGGTTAAACTGCTCAGCATAGGAACTATAGAGCTGATCAGCTCTTTTTTACCTTTCTTTTCCACATGGAGTCTCCCCTTCTTTCAAAGAGGTGATGCTTGTCCACAGCTGGCCAAAGCGTATCAAGCAATGACAGTGTGGACTAAGCTAGCAGGACTACCTGTTAGTGCTTGCAGTCCTGCAGAACTGTACTTGTGCAGGAAGAATACGAGTTCTTGGTTTTCCTGAGCCCCCATCTCTGCCAGAAAGCTCCCTTTCTCAGACAGGTTCAGAAGACTTTCTTTTGAAATACTTGAAACAGTATGTGACCTGCTTCTAAAGGAAATGAAGTGTTTTCAAGCAAGACATGTTCATTTGAATGTCTTCTTTCCCCTGCCACTTTGGCTGAAATCAGCCAAATCTTCCAAGTCTCAAAGAAACTGAAGTACTGCAAAGGGGTGGAGGAAAGGAACTCTGCCAGAACTGCCCAAGGTGTGGGTAAGACTGCAGTGTTACCTTACTCATCAAGCACCAAGGAATCCACCCTCAGAAGAGACCTTTCAGTGCCCCAAACTGTAGGAGGCGGCTATCATCTTTGGGACACAGAGCCATGAAGGCTTGTGCGTCCTTTGCTCCAGCACTTGTGGACTGACTTGCTAATGTTGAACTGCGCCTGCTGTAGGTATGAGGGATGGATAAAGCCCAGGTGAAAGAGTACTGGCCCAAGCAAGGCTGGAGCTGGGAGGTCCTGCCAAATCATTTGCTGTATGAGTGAGTTATGAGGCCCTAAAGGGAGGTCAGGAGATAAAGGCTGTCCCGAAGTGTCACGTTTGGTAATCTGACAAGTGAAATTGTTACATCGTGAAAACTGGCATTTGGTGGCTCAATGCAACTGCCGGGCATTTGTCTCTAACAGTATAGCATCTTACACACTTGAATGAATGAAAGGAAGGAAGGAGAAGCTTCAGAAACGTAATAGAAAGGCACAAGGTGTTTAGCTGTGCTGGACAGCTTCCCACTAAGTATCGAGGTGAGGGATGTCCCTGTAAGCTTCTCACCTGGTGCACCTCTATTGCAGGCTTGCAAAGGGTTCTTTAATATGTGCCTCTGGGGAATTCTTCTGACTTCCTGGGGGAGACCGTCGTATAGGTGTCTCCATATGAGTCACTCTGGACTCCCCTTGTTGCCAGAGATTTCATTAGTATCAGTATTGCCTGGCCCAAGGGAAGGGCTTTGTGCCTATAATTAGACTCTAAGATGCAGTGGTGGGAGACTTCAGGAAAAATGCACCCATTTCTCGAGTGGAGCCATAGATTTGTGTTCCCTATGCTTCCAGAGTTTCTTGAATTGTCTTTTTGTTTTGAGATGTTCTAGGGAGGTTAGTCTTATGCTTTTGAACCTCTATGTCCTAGTGCCTAGGCGGACTTGTGTGACGCGGGCACGGTCCTGCAGCATTTGAAGTCTCCAAGACTCATGTCACTTGATTTGGGAGGCAGTAAGATTCACCCCTCTTTTCAGAAGGCTGGAAGACAGCTGGGCTTACCAGGAACTAGGGGAGTATGAGCTGGTCCCTTTCCAAAAACATGAAAACTTTGAGATTGTTTCTGTTGTATCACTCTGGGAATAATTTGTAATACCTCAGAGTAGCTTAAAATTTCTACAGTAACTCAGTACTGTAGCATCTTGGTCCTGGTCATAAAACAGCCACCTGTAATCTAAGCATGTAAAGCAGTTTAGCTTGTTCTGTGTCCAGACCAGCTCTTGGTGAGAGGAGCTGCATACCCTCGAACCCATGAGTTAGCCAGCCCTGCCAAGGGGCAGTGTGTATTAATGCAGTGCCATGCCCAAGCTAGCGGTCTGTCTGACTTCTAGACCAGCAGGCGGCTCAGCTTTGGCCGGGTATTGGGGTGTTCTAAGGATCTCTGTCTGTTTGTGTAGACCTACCCTAAGCAAAATGTGTGTGACTGGGCCTGAAGAAACAGCAGGTACAACCGTGTGCTGCTGGGCTGTTCCTGTTCCCTGGCAGGTCTTGGTGAAATGAAAAGTACTACAACAGAGAGTCCCTCAGAACTTGCCAGAGAGGTGTGAGCTATCCTTCTACTTCTTTTGAAGCCTGCGTTCTCTCCATGGGACAGGCAGCCAACGGGTTTTCTCTTGTGCTTTGACCCACGCAGCATCCAAGTGTTCCACTGCCTCAAGCATGAAGGGACAGGTGGGCGGACGCTGCTAGTGGATGGTTTCTATGCAGCGGAGCAGGTTCTCCAGAAAGCCCCTGATCAATTTGAGCTGCTCAGCAAGGTGCCGTTGAAGCATGAGTATGTTGAGAACGTGGGAGGCTGTCACAACCACATGATTGGAGTCGGGCCAGTCCTCAATGTTTATCCCTGGAACAATGAGCTTTATCTGATCAGGTAACGTTAATGTGAGGCCTTTTGCTTATGGGGAAGAGAGGGGCTTGTGACAGACAAAAGTAGTTTGTCAGAAGATACCTTAAACTAAAAAACAACGTACTTTTGAGGGAGAGGGACAACAACTACAAAAACACCCTGCAGTTCCTCCTGGGCTGTATGTTGCTGCTTTTGAGGAAGAGACAACCGCCAATATAGAAACAGGTGTCTCTGCTGGGCTTTGATTTTACTCCTGCCACCCTCCCTTCTGCTCTCTGCCACACAGAGAGGGACAGTTCAAGGGCTTACACTTCCACCATCTTGCTTCTACCACAAGCTATGGCCAAAATTTCTAGTCAGCTGGACTTCTTCAGATAGAAAAGGTGCACCATGTCATGCTACTGTCCTGTGTGATGGTCTCAGCCGCTTCTGTTTCCTTCTGCTGCACACCATGTCTCTCTCACCCTCGCACACGAGTCCTCTGTGCTAACAACTGGGAGGGTCTCTCCTTAGGAAGGCAGCTCCAGAGACTCCTAGAGCCTTTCTCTGCTCAGTTGGTCAAAACATCTTGAATCTGTCCAAGCTAGGAGACTGTTGCATTAAAGCAAAGCACACATTTTGTGTAGTGGTGATACCCTTAGATCTGGGTATGAGCAAATGCCTGCCTGGCTGCTGACCGTCTGGGCCTCTTTAGGCAAACCCTGCGTGACACAGGCATGATCCTGCCCCATTTGAAGTCTCCAAGGCTCATGTCACTTTGGGGGGCAGTAGGATTCAGCCCTCTTCTCAAAAAGTCTCTCTGGAAAGTAGCCTGGCATACAAGGAACTGGGAGAGTGCAAACTGGTCCCTCTCCAAAGGAAGCTTGGGGTGTTTTGGGAAACTCCAGCTTGATTTAGAGCAGGAGACTGTCCAGCACTCAGCTCTTATTCTGAACGATGATCAGTCATGTTCATTGCTGCATCTGTAGCACCAGCTAGTGTGCGTTGCTGGTACTTGTGCCTGCTGCTTTCATTGTTTTAATGATCAGGCCTGCTGTCAAAGGCCTGTGTCAGTTGGTTTAAAGCTTAGTTCTTCCTTAATGGGTTACTGATTAACCAGAGTGCAAGCTGCTGGATTGTGTGGGCTCCATTTCTCTTGGTGAGAAAAGTTGTCAGTACCCCAGGGTAATGAGGAAGGTTAGTGGGTGGGGTGGGGGTGGAGTGAGTTCCCCAAACCAAGAATGTATACCTCTCACCAGCCTACAGGTCACTGACAATACCATGTCCTGGGGTTTTTTTTTTTTTTGCTTTTTTTTCCACTGCTGAGCAAGGCAGTGCAGGGCATCCTTCCATTAAAAACTAGCAAGAACTGTTTTATACTTGACAGTAAACTCCTCCTTGCTCAAATGCTGTGTAATCTCCTTCCAGTCCTGTACTCAGAGCAGAACCTCCCTAGTCATCTCTCTAGCCTCCCTTAAATACTGGCTGATCCTACAGGTTCCCAAGGTTCCCTCTAAGAATATTTGGCTGTGCTGTGCTCATGGAGACACATGGGCAGTTTCTTCTCTTGTCTGTGCTTCTAGATACAATAACTATGACCGTGCAGTCATCAACACAGTGCCCTATGATGTTGTGCATCGGTGGTACACTGCTCATCGCACGCTCACCACAGAACTCAGAAGGCCAGAAAATGAGCTGTGGGTCAAGCTAAAGCCAGGCAAGGTAGGACTTGGAGCTGGGAGGCCTATGTGTGTTTGGTATGGGGAGGGAGGCAGGGTACTGAGTTGGTTGTGCGAAACAGTTGCTGCTGAACTGGGGTTGGGCTAAGGCTAATGCTTCAGGCAAATTCCATGGGCTGCAGTATCCTTCTTTTACAGCTGTTTTAAGGTGCCTTATATTACAGTACTGGCATCTGCTGTGTGCATTGTCACTGCCATGAAAGCATATTAGCTTCCAGACAACATAGAAATAAATAATTCAAAATCGGTCTCACAGGAAAGGTTAGTCAAGACTGGGAGAGAGAAGGAAGATCTTTTCAGTCACTGAAATAATGGCCCTCAGAAACAGAGAGACTGGAAGAACTTAATATTCAGCTTCTACCTTTTCCAGAAGTAGAAAAGCTGCATTTTGTTTGTTTGTTATAACAGAAACATAGAGGGCACATGAGAAAAGTTGGATTTATGTTTGTTCTGAGGCTGTATGTTATCCCTTACATTGACAATGAATCACAAGAGACCCACACTCTCTTTGCTGCCCCAGAAATGTTACAAGTGTCTTAGCCAAATCTTTGTGATTGAAGGGGGGGGGGGGAGGAAACTCTGCCCTGCATTTGAAAGGCTGGTACTGGGTGCAGATTTGGAGGAGCTTGAAGAACTAGGGCTGCAGTCACAGATCCGGAGGTATTATGGTACATGGCTTCTTCCTTCAGCTGTGTTTGCTCTAGAGGGGTTTTATTCCTATAGGGTCTTGATTCAATTTGAACCCAGAGCCTGAAAAATGAAGAAGTCCAGCAGGGAAGATGATCACATCAAAGAGCCCCTACAAGGCTCTGTTCTCAAGGATGCCTGGGGGAGAAGTGATGGCCCCGTCCAAGAAAGGCAACAGCGACACCTTAAAGGCTGAAGATGGGCAGTTTCTGTTGCTGGGGAACTATCACCTAGCCTCTCCAGTAGAAAAGGACAGTGCTCTCTGAAAGTGCTGAGGAGGGAGGGCCATGCCCACAGTGATCTGCCCCTTATTTGCTCTTTCAGTCCTGGGGGGATATCCAGCTGCAGGACCTGTCTTGTCAGTAGGGGTATCTGAGTCCATCTGCTCTTGCCCTCCCCCTCAAACTTGGCAAATCACTCTGAGTGCAATAGTTGTCTCTTTTCTCTTTCCATGCAGGCTCTGTTCATAGATAACTGGCGGGTCTTGCATGGACGGGAAGCGTTCACAGGATATCGCCAGCTCTGTGGCTGCTACCTGACAAGAGATGATGTGCTGAACACCGCGCGCTTACTGGGACTGCAAGCTTAGCCCAAGCTTCCTGCTGTGGAGAGGCAGTAAAACTTCCAGCACCGCTGTGCTGGTGCATCACCACGACAAAAACGTTGCACATACCTCAGACACCTCCACCCTCTCCAAGCAGTTCTCTGTGCCTAGTCAGGGGAGGGAGCAGGTGGAAGCCAAAGGTTATGAGAAGTTTGTGACTGTATTCTGCCTTTGACGGAGCACGAGCTGCTTTTGTTGCCCGTACACCATGCCTGGTCTTACCACCTGGCCCAGTCTGTCTCAGCTCTGCTAAGTCGGAGTTAATTACACTGTGGGGAAGTCTTCCCAGCACCTGCCGATGTGAAGTGCTCCTCTAATCAAGTGCCTTCAGGGTTTGACATCTTTGGATTTTTCCCTGTTGTTTAGTCTTTTTGTCAGCTGGCGTTTCCAGGTTGGGCATAGTAAAACAGAACGGATATTTTGGGGGTCTTGTCTTACCCTGGGTTGGACTTTATCCCTTCTAGAGAAAATGAGAGTCTATTATCCCTATTATAAAAAGTTAAAATGCCTCTATTCTAGCTGAGGAGTATTGGTATATTTCAGTGATTTCTTTCTTCTTGAACATACTGCATACCCCTGTAACAGTCACAGATACGAGCTGTGGTACTTGAGGAATGGCCTGGTGAAAGAAGCTGGTATGGTTGGGATATCTCTGAAAAGGTTCAGGCTGGAAGGGAAAGGGGAAATGGTGAGATCTGAATGGCAAGAAGGAGAGATGGCTGTGTTAAATGAGGGCTATATTTCCCACGTTTTTCCTTGACTTCCAGTAGTATCATGTTTCTGCCTGTTGCACCATGCTTGCATCAAGGGTGAAGGCTCAACTGCTGCAGTGTTTGCTTATGGATTTCCCACTGTGCCTCTTTTTATCTTTTCTGAAGGAAGAATTTGTTTTACAGTATCTTTACACTGGCTGCTGGATGAGGCTGATTTTCACCAGATTTTCTTACGCAAAGGTAGCGAACACAAAGGTGCCTTTCAGCTCCAGGTAGCAGGAAGGCTAAATTGGAGTGTCTGTCACATTAAAGGGCCACAGTATAATGGACAAAAGGAAATCCTTTATCGTTACTAGAAACCTTTGAATTTTAGAACCAAGAAGGGATTTTAGATCTTGTTTATTTTTCGTTCTGCCTTATCTTTGAGGATGTTCACTCTGCTCTGACTGGACCATAAAACTGGGCTGGTCCCTGTCACTCCTGTCTTTCCTGTTCAAGCAAGATACTGTTGTGTCTAAGGTGTGAGTGCAGTATGGATGCATATGTGCTAACCTTGCTGCCTTCGTTTAAGCTAAATATTGAATGTGTAGATCCTAGTGCTAAGAGACACTTTAAAACTTCTGTTCATGGGGACTAAGCTCCCTGACGCTATCTTCTGCGGCATTCCCTGATTGCTGCAGTCCCACTGCAGACATCAGGAGTTGCAAGGGGTTTCTGAGGCAAGGCTTGGTGTGAAGCTGCTGACCAGTGGATACGTAAGGAAGTGAAACAATAGCAATGACAGCAGGTAATGCAAGCGGGATGAAGCTGGTGGCTTCTCAGGTATGTTTCCCAAAGCCTGTGAACAGGGAGCAGTTGGAGTATTGGCAGCCTCAGATACAGGCAGGAACTTAATTTTTTCTCTAGGCTAACCTGATGGATTCCTCAAGCAGTCTGCAGAATATATTATTTCTGTTACTTTCTTTATCAAAGAAAACATTTGTTTATAGGTTCTCTTTGTATGCCTGTTATTACAACATAACATGCATGTGAAAAGTTTTATAGCTCTTAATCATGTTGAAGTAGCAAAACTCTGCAGTTACATATGCAATTCCTCACGCAGCTCAGCTTGGACACACCTGAGTTGTTTCAGCCTGTGCTTTTTTTGCCCCACTGTCCTGAGCTAACAAAATTGCCTCGGTAACAGGGAAAGTTTAAAGCCAACCTCTGTGTTTATTGACACAGAAGGGGGCAAAGGAGCCCAATCAGTCTTTCAAAAAGCCGGTGTGTGAAACCCTAAAACTTTTTTCAAATGGATTGAGTGTCAAGGGTTCCTGTGTCCTTCTCGCCTCCCCGTGCCCCCAGGATGCTAGGGAATGGGAGAAAGCACTTGGGTCATGTGGAATCCTTCCCTTGGTCACAGATACCAGCTTTGCTGCCTTCTGCTCGGGATCCCCGCTCCCATCAGCCGCAAGCCAGAATTCTGCCACTACTCAGATGGAGCACGCAGGACTATGACTAGCACAAGGGAGACCTAATCAAAGCGTGTCGGCAAGAGACTGAAGTTACCCAGGTGCCTTTCTGACAAGCAGCATGATTAGTCCAGCCCTGTGTACCACTGAGCAAAGTGGGTGTGCAGCTGCCAAGGGCTGTGGTCTTGATGCCAAAATCCTCTTCTGAGCCAACTCCAAGCCAATACACTCCTCAAGGTGATTGTGTAATGTGTTTTGGGGAGGTTGTTCACCATGAATGTATAAGAAGCACATTTCCTCATAGATGGTATTCAACTTACTTTGTCTGCCTGAACAGTAGAATGTGGAGTGGAGAGGGTTTGTTTAATCTTGTACTCCACCTTTCCCCGCTTCTCAGAATTCAGTCCACCTAAGCAGCTTGTGAGTGTCAAAAACTTATTTGTAGAAACAAGACTTCTTAGGAGTTGCCATCTGTCTGATACAGGGATCACTGCGCCGTATTATGGAACAGGTTGAGTTGCTGCAACGATCTCAGATCTGTTTTTGTAATCAAGCTTTGTCAGTTCTTTCAGCCAATAAATGAACTGCTTTCTTCTTCCTCCCCATAGTGTGGGGATCCAGTATATGTTTTTTTTTTTTTTAAGACATTTATTTCCAAAAGTAGGGTAGGAAATCAAGTAGGTGGTAATATTTTTCAGTAAATAAACTATAAATTGAAAAAAATCTAAATTGGCAGATTAACAAGACCTAGTTAAAGCCATCATGAACTTTAAAATAAGTCTGTATTACCCATGAAAAGGTGGAACAGACCTATGGAGCAGTTAATTCATGTCTCCACTGACTTCCTATACCACTACATATTAGAAGATTTGTGAAATAGTGTCTTTACTTGTTACAAGTTATTTGTTGCTCTAAAGATGAGGTTCTCATTGTTCGTTCTTTCATTGGCCACACGATGGCAGAAGACACAAAGAACGATGCAAAGAAGATGCAAAAGAAGAGGAAGGACTGCTGTTCCAAAGCCTACATCACTGAATATTTCTACAGAGCCACAGGACATGATATGAATCATGAAAAATCTGGGGGGG